TGTTAAATCATTAAACGAGCAAATGGATCTCGTATGTGCACACGACTCTATAAATGATATTAATAGTTATAAATTGGTGAAAATATAGATAATCATGTATAATAGAGGTGTGAAAAAAACGAAGCGAAAAAAACGAAGTTTGGTGCCCGAAAAATCGAAAATAAGAAAAATCCGTAGCTATTTTGCTACGGATTAGCTACAGACTTTTCTTCTATTCGAATTTTCGGGTACCAAACTTCGTTTTTTTCGCTCCGTTTTTTTTCACACCTCCATTATACATAATTATCTATATTTTCACCAATTTATAGCTATTAATATCATTTATAAAGTCGTGTGCACATATAGGATCCATTTGCTCGTTTAATGGTTTAACATTATAGTGCTTATGAATACGTACACATACATCTCATAAACACATATACCTACATCATCATCACCACCATCACCACCAACATCATCATCATCACCATCATCACCAACATCACCATCACCACAATGAACATCATCATCACCATCACCATCACCATCATCATCATCATCACCACTACCACCATCATCATCATCATCACCACAACCATCATCATCATCATCACAACTACACCACTATCATCATCATCACCACCACCACCATCATTATCATCATCACCATCATCACCATCAACATCATCATCGTCACCATCATCACCACTACCACCACCATCATCATCATCACCACCACCACCACGATCATCACCATCATAATCACCATCACCATCACCATCACCATCACCAACATCACCTTCACCATCACCATCACCGTCACCATCACCATCACCATCACCATCACCATCACCATCCCCATCACCATCACCATCTAGGACTCGACGAGTCGCGTGAGTGCCCTCGGCGAGTTAGGTCAACTGGGGTTGTTGACTCGAGTTTGACTTTTGTGGATTTTAAGGTTTGGTCAAATGGAGCAATGTTGATCAGGAAGGGGTAAAATAGTCTTTTATCCATTCTTAGGGCTAGTGTAACGCCCTGATTCTTAGGATTCTAGAGCCTTTAAAGCCATGCATGCACGTAAAGTTTGCAACTTTACGTGATAAGCATGCCCTAGAAGCTTGGATCTGTGATTTGGAGTCGTTGCATGGCTCAAAATGGGAATGTATGGAAAAAGGACTGAATGGACTTGGCGAGTCGCAAGGTTGAGTCGGCGAGTCGCATGAAGATGGTCGTGAGCTCGATGAGTTGGATGAACAACTCGACGAGTCTGATGAAGATTGCCATAAGATTCGACGAGTTAAAGAACAAATCGGCGAGATGGATGTGTTTTAACCAGGATATATATATATATATATATATATATATATATATATATATATATAATGCCGTTGAATGAAGTGAAATGCTAGGTAATATTCAATGAGTTAAATTTAACAATAGTAAAGAAATAATCAAGATGATAAAGTTTTGTGATTAAAATGTGACACATTATTAACTCTAAAATTAAATGTAATGTGGTTGCTTAATATAACCCTATAGGACATTTTCACGAATATTTGTTTTTTATTGTAAAAAGTTTAACTAATATCCAACACTAATGTTTAACATATTGTTCTCGTTCTACTTAAAAGTTTAATTAAAATAGATTATTTAAAAAAAATATAATATATTGTTCTCTTATGCAAGTGAAGAGGTTCGTTTACATCTTCCCAAAAATATCAATACTAATAATAATAATAATAATAATAATAATAATAATAATAATAATAATAATAATAAACTAATGGAAAATTAGTTATTGTATAAGAATGATTAAGAGGCAATTATATTTGGATGTGGCATCTTTGGCCAGATGGTAAAGTGTTTGATAATATACGTAGTAGATCTTAGTTCGAATCCTAGCACCTCCTTTTTAAGTCCCTTTTTTTTTAAGGGCCTTTTTTTGGCCCGTATAATAAAATGGCTCCTCCTCTAGGGCAAGAACACGATTTTCCAGTCCTCCTCAACGACTTCTCCTTATTTCTTCTCCCTTTTCAGCCGTCTCCTCCATTTTTCCGATCATCCACTCCCCAAACGCGACCACCGCTCGTTAAACGGATGCTCCGGCCACTGCTAGTCAAACGATTGCTCCGGCGGTCGATTTGCTGCTCGGTTTATTCTCCAACAAAGCTAAAGACCTCCACTGTTGCCTCCGTTTCCGGTCGATTTGCTGCCTCCATCTCCGAAGAACAGTTGCCGACACTGCCTCCGGTGGAGTGATCATCCGCAGCCGTCGTCGTTGGACCACCCACTCTAATTTTTCATCCTCTTCTTCCTAAGTTGATTTGTAAAGGTAAAACCCTAATTTCTTTGAATCTTTGAAATTGAAGTGTTTAAATATTTATTTTATGTTTAGGTTTATATGAGATAAAACCTTGTTACCGTCATTTTGATTCTATTGAATTCCAAAAGTCCGAATCACTAACTGTTTGCTATATTCCCCTAAAAATCAATTTTATATCATGCTCTTTAGAAACATTGTTGAAACTAGATTGTCAAAATGGTTATAAGATGATTGATTTCAAAGAGGTTAAAGTTAATATTTACACCAAAATCTCAAAATCTAGACTTTTGACATCTGAAAAATGATTATTTTTGCATTTGGTAGTTCAAAAACTAAGATTTAATTTTGGGTGGTTTGCTTTGGCAGAACTTTGACAACTCTAAAATTATATTTTAGGCGGTTCAAAAAATAGTACCATTTGTTTGAGATATAATTTTTTGGTTGAATTTTAGAAGCTCAACAATATGATAAAACATGATAAATGCGAAGTTTAAAAAAAAAAGTACAATTAGTCCAAAAAGACATCACCAATATGCATTCTTTGTCTTCATTGTTTGATATTTGAATATCATCTCTAAATAAAAGAAATAGAATTAATGGTATTATATTAGTTTTAGTCCATAGAGTCTATAAACATAAATCATATTTTATTACCTCGTTTTCCTTTTTCTCTTCATCAACATGTATGCCATCACCGGATTCACCGCCATCAATAAAAGCAAACAAAGAAAATAAGCAAAATATATTAAATAAATAAGAAAATAACAATTCAAGTAAAATCTTAAATACCTATTTTTCCTGCTCATAGCAAATTTTTGGTGTAAATATTAACTTTAACTTTTGATGGAAGAAATTTGTTAATTTGCTGCATTAACTTTAACTTTTGGTGTAAATATTAACTTTAACTTTAACTTAAAAACAGGTTTGGCCATGAAAAAAATGAATATGTTTGTCGTAATAATGACAATTTAATATGAACAATATGTTTTAGGATTTAAAGAATGTATAGAAACAACTTTTGTTTAGGATTTAAAAGTTATTAGGAGGATATAAACAACATTTGGTCACTTTGTTTAGGAGATATAAACAACATTAGGTAATGTCCAAAGGCTTAAGAGTTTAAATTTTATTATACATGATGGCTTTCACCATTTGCAAGCTGTTTGATGCAATAAATAATGTAAATGTTTGTTTCAAAGAATCTTTTGTCTATATCTTTAGGATTTAAAAGTGCTTGGAAAGAAACAAAAAGTTTAAGAGTTTTTATTCTTTTTTTTTCTGTCTGCAGGGGCGTAAAATGGATCGAACTTCTTGTTTACAAATGCTTTGGATTTTCAAGAAAATACGAGTTAAAAAGGTATCATGTATGTTTGGTAGTCTTGGAAGGAAATGTGTTTTTATTTTTGAGCTAGTTAAATGAAAGATATACAAACTTATTATAACATCCTACTTTCATTTTGTCTTACTTATAGTGTTGTACTTTCAAAAAAATTCCAATTATGGTTATAATAAACAAATAAATGAAAGTGCATTGCTACATTTGTATTTTTTTTGTGTGATCATTGATTATCTTGTACTATGAACAATTGGTGGCCTTTGATTCAAAACTCAAGTTGAAGAGCATTTGTCAGCCTTTATTGATTCAACTTACTCGATAATTTGCCATGTAATCCATCAAAAAAATTTCAATTTTATTTTGTATTTGATATATTTTTAGGTTTATTAGTTTTATTATAATGTTATTTGTTTTGTAGTTGAATTTCAATATTATTATAAGTTTAATGTAATGGTTTTTTTTAATATTTTGGACAGAAAAAACTGGATTTTTTTAATAATTTTTTATTGGTTTTTTTTTTATAAAAATAAAAAGTAATTAGCTACAGATTACCAACAGAAAATCCGTAGCTATTTACTTCCGTAGCTATTCCGTAGCTATTCATATCCGTAGCTATTTCGTAGCTATTTAGTTCCGTAGCTATTCCGTAGCTATTCAATTCCGTAGCTATTCTGTAGGAAATGCGTAGCTATTTATTTCTGTAGCTATTCTGTAGCTATGGTAGCTACGGAAAATTCCGTAGCTATTCAGTAGCTAATCCGTAGCTATAATTTAGCCACGAGCCATTATGCTACAACTGTTTTTCTGTAGCAATTCCGTAGCTATTCGCTTATAGCTACGGAATAGCTACGGATTGTGCTGTAGCTATTGCACCTGTTTTCTAGTAGTGTTAACATAGTGACTAATTTGCTCCTAATTAAATAATCAGTTAGATTAATTAGTGTTAATCTGTTTTTTTATAAGCCACGAGATCAAATTTGATGAAAGGCTAAGATTTGGTCCCCATGTCTCACAAAATATAAGTGGTCTCAAATGAACCTCTACCTATATATATATATATATATATATATATATATATATATATATATATATATATATATATATATATATATATATATATATATATATATATATATGCTAGGGTTTAAATTTTATTTTGATAAAAGGCTCTAACTTCCATGAAGAGAGCGCCTATATTCATCAAATGGGCGTTGCAAATTTCAACAGTGGCGCACATTAATCGTCCTCGCAGGACCACAAGTTAATACATTAGCAAACATGAGTCACCATTGATAATATTGGTTCTATATATATCACCCTCGCTGAGACACACACCATCACCAGAATTCCAGAAAGTAAATGGCTTCTGCTAATTTACCCTCAGCGTTCATTTCAACCTTACCAAGATTTCCTATTAATTTCAACGGTTTGATCATACATAGTGATGGGCGATACGAAAGACCTATCCGGAATGATACCAGTCCAGCTGGAACTGATACCTTAACCGGTGTCCACTCAAAAGACGTTGTTATCTCACACGAATCCAAAGTTTTTGTAAGGCTTTACATTCCTAAAACCATAAACCCTAATCGGAAACTTCCAACTCTTGTTTACTATCATGGGGGTGCTTTCGTGTCTGACTCCGCTGCTTCATCCACTTACCACAAGACACTTAACTTGATAACGACAGAATCTAACGTGATTGTTGTGTCAGTAAACTACAGGTTAGCACCAGAATATCCTATACCAATTGCATACGAGGATTCATGGGAGGCAATTAAGTGGGTGGCTAGTCATGTTAGAGGAAATGGTCAAGAATCATGGTTAAACGACCATGCTGATCTTCAGAATGTGTTCTTAGCTGGAGATAGTGCTGGAGCTAACATCGCCCACAATATGGCTATCCGGGTCGGGTTGAGCGGCCATGAGAATGTTTTTAACGTAAGTGGTGTTATTATGGTTCACCCTTATTTTGGTGGTGAAGATCCGATTGGAGCTGAGTCCACGAAATTTAAACGGGCGAAGGAGAACATGGATAAGCTGTGGCTGTTGGCAAACCCATCAGGGAATGGGTCAGATGACCCGCTGTTTAATCCAGGCATGGACCCGAATATTTCTGCTTTTGGGAGCTCCAAGATACTTGTGTGTGTTGCTGAGAATGATATAGTAAGGGAAAGGGGTCTGAATTATAAGAAGGTGATGGAGGCGAGTGGGTGGAAAGGCAATGTGGAGTTGATGGAGAGCAAAGGGGAGAAGCATATCTTCTTTTTGTTTGATACTTCATGTGAAAATTCTTGTTTATTACGTAGTAGAATTTGTAACTTTATAAACCCGATCCGAAGCAAAGCTTGATGATATGTCCTCTATTATATAAATACTGATTAAAACATTATCTCGTTTAACTCATGATAGATAAGATGTACTACGGATCGGCTCAAATTGACCAAATATTCAAATTGATATTTGGTATCAAGGCATAGATTTTGTACTCTTTTTAGATCAATTATATATTTCCAACATGGTAATGTTATATTTGGAGTGAGAAATAAAGTTATCTTTTAATGGAACATATTCATGTTGGTGGTGTTTTTATTTGACTAAAATTTTATACTAAATAGGTTGTTTTAATGTGATCTATATCACTATTAAACAATCAATTATGTTGAAGGTAGCTTTTTCTTTTTTATTTTTTAACGGTAAATCTACTTCTAAACTACTTTTAATTCCACCTATGTTTTTAATTTGACTTGAATCTTCAACCTTAAGAAGAAAAGACAACACCCGATACCATTGGACTAGAAGCCTTTATATATGTTGAAAGTAGCTAACAATAAATAAATAAATAAATAATATTAAAAATAAAAATAAAAATAAAAATAAAAATAAAAAAAAACAATGACATTTATCGGCATCTACCTTTAATGGCATGTTATTTGTTACGTTTAATGGATTTCATGTTTTTATAATTCATAGTCATATTTATTAGTTACGTAATATTGATATAAAATCATACCAAAAAGTTATAAATTTAATATCATAACATTTATTATATATTACTAAATGTTTGTTTTTTATTTAACCCATTAATAGTATTACTAACAGCGGGGCATGAAAAACCGATGTTAGTATTTCATCCGTCCGATTTCTTCAACTTCAAATCCTGACTGTATAGACTTAGGTGTCATTTGTTTTTTGCGAATCGAAAATGTCTGAAATCTACAGACCACCTCTGCAACCCTCTGTAGCACAGGGACTAAACGGCTGCAGCATGTAATAAAAATATGTTAGTTTTTTAACCTCTCCAGACTGCTGCAATAAGTTAAAGTGAAGTATGAACATGTTTGAAGTAGAGGGTCAAGTGCTACGCAACACAGCACACGCATAACAGTTTTTAAGTCAAAAGTCTTTTGAAAAACAAACAGCTGCGAACGGTCAAATGTTGCGTGTGTGCTGTGCGAAGCAGCAAGATGTGGTCGGAAGTGGTTTTTTAGAAAAAAACAAACAAAACCTGAATAATTATAGTTTTTTTCAGTTTCTTCGTTCCTCCTACTTCACGCATCCATCCAAGCACGACGTCTCTTTCTCATGTTCTTCAACCTCCATCCACATCGATGTTAAACTTCTAACCTCTTAGCAGTAGAATCCATTAAGTGCTTCTCTCCCCACGATGACAGTTCTTCTTCGACTATACCAACGTTCAGTCCCTTGTCTTAGAAACTATCGTCCCCCACCATCATCTCCCTCTTCCCCTTTTGTATAAATACCAAAGGAAACTGGTGAATTGACCATGTTGTCATCCGTTCCCCTAATTCCTTTAATGTTTCAATGTTTTAGTTAGTTCCTTGAATTGTCACTGGTTTATCTAACGATCTTACTACTCGGAATACCTTCCGGGTAGGAACGCATTAGAGATTCAAAATTTAGGGGGTGGTTTTTAGCTATGTGGAGTGTCTTCGAAGGGAGCATGTTCTGAATGAAACTACAGGTAATAATCTAATGTATAATTTGATTTGATTTTTTGTTGCAAATATATTTCCTCATTTCCAATTCAGTTGATTCGATGTTAACTTCGGTTTCAAACAATGTGAAAAATCCTACTCATCTTTCTCGCTCTCTCCTTCAAGGGTACCTTCAAATTGGTGCATTTTGATGTGACTTTTGTGATTACTATTTGTGGATGATGATCTCTTTCTTCTTCTGGACAACGACCTCAAGGTACCATCTACTATTCCTCCCGTTTCCGCGATTATTTCATTGTTATTTGTGTTTGTTTTTTTGAAGTTCTATTGCATCTTAGGTCCTAAAATAACAATCATCAACTATAGAGTAAGATTTTGTTTTTCTTTTTTGTTTCTTTTCATTCATATGATTGTGATCTCTTTTCATGATTAATAGTTGTGGATTCTGTTTTCTTACAACTTTAGTACGTAATAAAGTTCATTTGTCTATAAGGTTTATATTACTGAAAACTTGACTTTCTTTTCATTTTCTTCCGGATCGAGAAAATCATGAAGTCCCAACCCATCCCCGACACTACTTTTAGAAATATTTTGATTTTCATCGTCTATAACTAACCTTATATTGTCTTTGGAAGTTTGTATTGAAATATGGTATTTGTATGGACTTTTTCAAGAAACAAAAATATATGGGAAGAGTGTTTGTTAGCATTCTATAAATCACATTTTTTCTCTCTAGGTATATAGTTGATTTTTGCAATAAGGACATGAGACAGAGGGTGATCCCAAGTTGACAAATTTCATAAAAAATGATGAGTCCGTAGGTAAAACTAGACAACATGGAATGAGCATAGTGAAAACTTGTTAGTTGTTGGGAGAGCATCATATTGTGAGTTTTATCTTGTGTTTTTGGTGGTTGTTGTACAAGGTTTGAGGAGAACCTATTTGTTGGAAAATGGTGACCATGATGATCTTAAAGTTAAAGATGCAGAGCATGTATTTTGGTTTATATTTTTACTTCTAGTTTACACACCCTAGTGTTTGATTTAATGCATGGGTGAAGGTTTTATATTACTTTAACCTTTCTATTATTATCATTTATCCTACTTTGTAACATACACATGTCACAAATTAAGAACTACATCATGATTGGCTAGGGTAATAATTTTTTTATTTAGGGAACAGGAAAAAAGATGGGGCATTAGTTGCATAAAGTCCAACAAATAAGGTTTCTAGGAAACCACCTACAATATTAATATGTATAATTTAAATTAGTTGATTATAAAATTTGGCTTCAAAATTTTTTTTTTTATGATCTAAGAATGGTCTTTCTTTAATGTGACACAAAAGTTTCATGTCCAAAAAACAGTTGCAGATAAATATTCAGAAGAGGGGAAAAGGAAGAACAAACTTGTAATTATTTATTTATCACTCTCAAGGTGGTAACATAGGTCAACACATACTTTAGTGGTTATTACTACTTAACTAAGCCCTCACATAGTTTTATTCATCCCTCTGAGATGAAGCAAGGATTTTATTGTAAGTTTCTGTATGAATTAAACATGGGTAAAGCTGATTAGGGCATTTTATGATGATTAGAATAGAGCAATAATATGGTTTATGATTACGATTGTTGCTTTAATGGTAGGGTTAGGTGTATTTTAACCTTCTCATATGTCTTTTATTCATTTATCCTTTTCTAGAACAAAAGAATTGTTTACTAAAAAATATAATGTTTTCTTTGTACTTGACGTTGTAGGAAAAAGACTTTAACATTTAGTGGAAGGGAATATAAGAGGTAGATGTTATCTTCCTGATTTGTCCAGGTTTGTATTATGCTCTAGAGCCACCTTGGGCATTATAAAAGTTGTTTCAGTTGTACTTATTGCTTTTTCATGTACAATATGGAGGTATAGAAGTAATTATGTCTACAATGGTAAGGTTGAAAACTGTCATCTGTTGGATCTCAAGGTGAAATCGATGGCTTTCAATTGGCTTAAAAAATAGAACTAGAAAGGGCATTTGTAATATTCATCATCCAAGAGAGAGAAGGAAAGGAAATCATCCTAG